TATTCTCCCACGTGCCTGGCGACAGGACGAGGGGGAATGGGCTTAAGTTGCGACAGGGGAGTTTTAGGCTGGATGTTAGGAAGAATTTCTTTACTGAAAGGGTTGCTAGACATTGGAACAGGCTGCCCAGGGAGGTGGTGGAGTCACCATCCCTGGAAGTCTTTAAAAGACGTTTAGATGTAGAGCTTAGGGATATGGTTTAGTGGGGACTGTTAGTGTTAGGTCAGGGGTTGGACTCGATGATCTTGAGGTCTCTTCCAATGTAGAAATTCTGTGATTCTGTGATCTAGAAACACCGCATTTGACTATCTCATATTGTGTCAGGACACAAGCCAGCACTGGTATTCACCTCTGAATGAGAATGCTTTGGTACGAGAAGCCCTGATGGTCGATCATTACGTCAGCTTCATCCAGCACAAACAGGCTGATTCTCTTCATATTCACCACTCGCCGTTTGAAACACCAGTCCAGCATTGTCCCAGGAGTCCTGATGACAATCTGCTCCTCCAGCAAGGCGCCTGGCAGAACTGCAGGAGGAGAAATCGTATCACACCACCTCGGTGCAAGGAGCACTATGTTTCTCGGCCACACACACCTGGCTGCGAATGAGCAGGGTAGTATCCAGGGAGATAGGGACTCAAAATCTGCTACGTTCTGGCTGCTTGAGCATGGTTCCCACCCTGCTGTGTCAGCTTCGGACTGCCTAGCAATGCCTTTGAGGGGGTCATTGCAAAGCGGAGCTCAGGAGCTTAAAATTGCAGGTAGCCATCAAGCAGGGCTGACGCTTCCCTGACGCCTTGTCAGGTGGCAACCAGCAAAAGGGGTGCCCCACCTCTGAAAGGAGACAGCGGTCACGAGAATGACTCCTTAGAAGGCACGGGAATTCACACGCTGTTTCATGTGCCTTCAGAGCTCCGCACAGCTCCCGCTAGTTCACAGCTCTCACAGCATCCCGCTAGTTCCTTACAGGACTGTTACTCCGCCCGCAACTCTGCTCAGCGCGGCTGGACTCACCTCTGTTTCCCTGAACAGCGTACGTAACCCTGATGTCGGCACAAAACTGACCCATCTTCTCGATCACATGTCCGATCTGCAGGGCCAGCTCGTAGGTTGGAGCCAAGCAGAGGCACTATGAGAGATAAGACAGCTGTCAGACAAGAGCCACATCTTTTAAAAGCACGCAGTGCCCCTGGCATGGCATACCCTACGCTAATGAGAAGGCATTTCAAAGCTCAGCACGCTGAAATCTCACTGCTAAACTCTTCCAAATCTGCAGAGGGATCAGCAACGGCAGTTGCATTTGCAGCTTTGGAAGGTAACCTGGAAGGTACAGCTGAAGGCAGAAAGGACTCAAGGCAACTACTAGGAGAGGTCCCTTCTTTACAGTGAGCATGACAGAGCGCTAGAACTGGCTGCCCAGAGAGGCTGTGGAGTCTCCTTCTTTGGAGACATTCTAAACCCGCCTGGATGCCATCCTGCACAGTGTGCTCTAGGTGATCCTGATCAGCAGGGGAGTTGGACTAGATGAGCGTCAGAGGGCCCTTCCAACCTCGCCCGTTCTGGGATCCCGTGATTTTTGCTAGGGAAATTTGTTTCCTCAGGCACAGTGCCATTTGCTTCTGTGCCCAGCTTGCAACTGAGAGTTTAAATTACATAGGATGCTTGAGACTCAAGACTTTTAAGTGCAGCACCCAGCCTGCGTAGGTGATTCTGAACCCAGAGAGGTGCCTTGCCTTCCCAGGAGCTTTTACGGCACCAGAAACTAGCGCAAGTCACAGCAAACAGCTGGAGTCTCTGCACATGCTTCCCAAAGCTGGTTGGATGCTCCTCAAAACAGAACGTCAGGATACCTAGGGCCTGGCTAAATCCACTGCTACCAAGTAAAAGTAGCCTCCTTTAGCTGGCAGCTTCGTCTGCTCCCAAGCTTTCTATCCAACCTCCCTGCTGCTGGGACGCTACCTGGGTGTTTACCAGCCCACGACAGCGGCCACAGCGGGTAGACCACCGTTGAGACTGGGACAAAACCAGAGCTCTGTCCACGGACAGTGGCTTGAGGGTGCAGCCAAACCTCTGCCGCATGGCCTTTCCCCTTCCTACATTACCTGCGGGTACTTCTCTGCACCATTAACTCTGCTCAACATTGCCAACACAAAAGCTGCCGTTTTCCCTGTCCCTGACCGGCTCTGTGCAATCAGGTTTTGGGGCCTGCAAGGCAAAGGCTGTTTAGCCGAGCACAGAGGCTTGGCATCCCCGCACCAGCACCCCGACGCCATGGTGCCGCAGGGGAGCCAAGGCGGTGGTACCCGTCTGCTCACCCGGGCGGCCCTGGTACTCATGGATGGGCTAGCATCATTGGCAGAGCTGTCTCCTGGATCGTGGACGGCCTGTTGAAGCCCATGGCGTAGACCCCCTGCAAGAGCTCCTTCTTCCTGTCCAAAAGCACCAAAAGCGACCATTCCACAAGGAATGGCTAACAGCGCCCAGGGGCAGCTCCAAAGCCCGCCTGCCTCGGGGCTGCCGCCTACTCACAGGCGCAGCTCCTCAAAGCTTTTCACCGAGAAGAGAGGCGAGTTGGGGTCCTGCTGCAGGATCTCTACGTGATGGCTGGACTCCATGAGGGACGTGTGGATCAGCTTGTTCAACAGGGAGCTCTCCGCCACGTCCACTAGAGAAGGGGCGGGCTCGTGACGAGCCCCGGTGCCCCTCGGGTCTCCCGTCCCACACACACGGGGCTCTCCAGCCATCCGCCCCCACCGCCCCTGCCACCGCCGGCTCTTCACCGAACTCTTCTCCTGCGCAACCTACCTCAGGCCCGAGGAACCCGGCTGGACTTCACGGGAGCCTGGCACCCTGCCTCGGCCCACGCCTCCGCTGCCCTCGCCCGCTGCCAAGGCTCCGGGAGCTGCCGCTCCCCCAGCCCGGCCCCGGGGGTGCTGGCCCTGCAGCCTGCGCGCAGGCGCCGGGGGACAAGGCCCGGTGGGACCCACCTCTGCCCTCCTCCTCGCTCTCCTCGTCCTCGCTCGTGCAGGTGGGCTCTGCCACGGGACAAGACACACGATGCTCAGCACCTCCCCGCAGCCCCGCCTGGGCCAGCCCCGGCACACGGGGCCCCGAGGGTGGCCGGCCCTCACCCCGCTGCCGACACGGACACAGCTCCCGGCACTGGCCTGCACACCGCTGCCGGTGGCCAGGCGAACCGCACAGCCCGCACAGCCCACGGCGCCGACGGCAGAGGCAGCCCGGGCCAGGGGAGCGCGTGGGGGACGGGCTGCCCGGGGACTGGCTGCCCAACAGGAGGCTGCCCGGGCCCTGCGCCCGCTCCCACCGCCGGCGTCCCTGGGGAGCCGGTGCCAGTGCACGACAGCCCTCTGGGTGAAGAACCTCTTCCAGTTGACTGGTGGCTAGCAACTGGGTCACCCATCTCCAAGAAGGGCCAGAATAAGTTTAATATTGTCTTTTGTAATATTTGTTTGGAATTGGAAATTGTTACAACGAATGTCCGTGTTAGCTTCCTTGACAAAAGTGCATGGCAAGGTATTGAGGGGTACATATCATAAAGACTGGGAAGAAAAATATTTGTATTAAGTAAAAGAATTTACTAGATTTTCCAGAAAAGGGGGGGACTGATATTGTGTAAACTCAGGCTCTGCAGTCTATGCCTCTGAGAAAGCAGATTTAAGAAAGGAAAGAAAACTGCTGCACATCAGCACCAGTGAGACAGAGGAGTGATAAACAGCCCTGCAGACTCCGAGGTCAGTGCAGCAGGAGGGCAGGAGGTGCTCCAGGCTCACAGCAGCAGTTCCCCTGCAGCCTGTGGAGAGGTCCCTGGTGGAGCAGGCTGTCCCCCTGCAGCCCATGGTGTACCACAGCGGCGCAGAACTCCATGATGCAGCCAGGGAAGGAGCCCACAATGGATCTGACCTGAAGGAGGCTGTGGCCTGTGGAGAACCCCTGCTGGAGCAGACTCCAGGTCAGACCTGCAGCCCGTGGAGAGGAGCCTCTGCAGGAATAGGGGACCTGGGGGGAGCTGCCACCCATGGGGTCCCATCCTGGAGCAGTTTGCTGCTGATGGATGGATCCCATGGTACGGACCCATACTTGGAGCAGTTCTCGAAGTGCTGCTGCCTGTGGGAAGCCCACGCAGGATCCTTTTTGGAAAGGACTGCATCCCATGGGAGGTATCCCACTTTGGAGCAGGGGCAGAGAGTGACCGAGAAGGAGTGGCGGAGACAAAGTGCCATAAACTGACCACAACCCCTATTCCCTGTTTGTCTGCGCTGCATGGGGGGAGCAGGTGGAAGAGAGCGGATGGGGTGGAAGGTGGTTTTAATTTGTTTTCTCTGTTTCTCACTTCTCTAGCTTGTTAGTAACAGGCAATACATTTCTCTAATCTCTCTCCACTGAGTCCATATTGCCCGTGGCAATCTCCTTGGCCTTATCTCAAGCCGTGAGCCCTTTTCATCGTATTTTCTCCCCCTTTCCCTTTGAGGTATGGGAGTGAGAGAGCAGATGTGGTGGAGCTCAGCTGCCCACCTGAGTAAAACCACAACACTCTTGGAGGAGGAGGTTATCACCAATGCATTCCGGGAAGCTCTTAGATTGCTTATGCCCTGCTGTGCTGTCCCTCCAACAGATGTGCAGTGGTTGACGTCTCCCATAAAGACCAGGGCTTGTGAATGTGAGGTTGCTTCCAACTGCCTATAAAAGGCCTTATCTGCTTGGTCTTCCTGGTCGGGCGGCCCGTAGACAGCCTCCACTGTACTGCTACCTCTCTTGAATCCACCCTTAGTCCCATGCTTCACTTTGCCCCGATCTGCCCTAAACTGGGGGCATATGGCAGGTGGGAAGCGTGGGAGGGGGAATCTGCCCAACAGAGAAACACAGGCCTCTGGGCTCCCAGCTTTCCCCTCAGCCAGTCTGCTCACTGCAGTGGTGCTGCCAGAAAGGACCCAGGCATTCCAGTCACCAGCAGAGGAGAGGGGACACCGGCACACATATGGTAGCTTTGCTGAAGGTGTTTATTGCAGACGGAGGGGAAATGGGCCATATCATCCAGAGGATCTGGCAGCACGATCCAGGGATGACCGTCTCTTCATGTAACTGGGGGGGGACAGGATGGGGGTTCATCACAATCTGTGGGCCTGAAAGACAAAGCGCAAGACGCGATCGCCCAGCATCCGTGGGGACACGAGAGAGGCCTCGTCCCCACCAGGTCTCTCAAAAGATCAGAGGATGAAGCAGGGAATCGGAGCCCACCCCCAGCCCCCAATACACCCCCAGCAGGACTCGGCTCTCTTGGGGTCCGTACGGCACCCAGAGCCCCTTGCCCAGCGTGCAGCTACCCTGGGGTGCCCGTAGACCTCTGGACCCAGTCCTATGGGGATCCTGGGGGTCTGTATGGCATCAGAACCCCTGCCTACACTGCATGCTAAGCCTCTGGGTCCATCCAGCCCGCTGAGCATAAGGCCCAGGGACGGTTCTGTCCAGCCACAAAGTTCAACAAGGCCAAGTGCAAGGTCCTGCATCTGGGCTGGGGCAGTCCCAAGGACAAACACAGGCCAGGTGAAGAACAGATTGAGAACAGCCCTGAGGAGAAGGACCTCGGGGTGCTGGTTGACGAGAAGCTTGACGTGAGCCAGCAATGTGCACCTGCAGCCCCAAAAGGCAACTGTACCCTGGTCTGCATCAAAAGCAGCGTAGCCAGCAGGGCAAGGAAGGTGATTCTCCCCCTCTGCTCTGCTCTGCTCTGGTGAGACCCCACCTGGAGCCCTGTGGTCGGCTCTGGGGCCCCCAGCACCAGAAGGACACGGACCTATTAGAACAAGTCTAGAGGAGGGCCACAATGATGATCAAAGGGCAGGAGTGAAGACAGGCTGAGGGAGCTGGGGTTGTCCAGCGTGGAGAAGAGGAGGCGCCAGGGACACCTCATTGTGGCCTCTCAGTAATTAAAGGGGGCCTGCAGAAAAGCTGGGGGGGGGGCTCTTTCTCTGCGAGTGTAGTGATAGGACAAGGAGTAATGGTTTTAAACTAAAAGAGGGTAGGTTTAGATTAGATACTCAGAAGAAATTCTTCACTTGGAGGGTGGTGAGGCTCTGGCGCAGGTTGCCCAGAGACGTGGTGGATGCCTCATCCCTGGAAGTGCTCCAGGCCAGCTTGGATGGGGCTTTGGGCAACCTGGTCTGCTGGGAGGTGTCCCTGCACATGGCAGGGGGCTTGAAACTAGATGACCTTTAGGGTCCCCTCCAACCCAAAACATTCTGTGATTCCATGATCCCGAGACAGATCATGGCTAATGCCCTCTATTGCCCCCAGCCATACACAAGTTCTGCCCAGCACAGAGGCCTCTGGGGTTTCCTGGAGTAAAGGATCCTTTGCGGGGCCAGCGACATACCAGTGCTGCTCACCTAGGCATAGAGATCTGCAGCCAGGCGTTTCTTGCGCACTGCTGCCACCACCTCGACAGGCACAGGCTGCAGAGCCCTCTTCCCTCGCAGAAACTTCAGCTGCAGCAGGAGAGAGATTGTGAGACCTCAGTGGACGCCGGGATGAATTCAACCCAGCAGGTGACAGCAGGGCACGGGGGAGGCAAATGGCCCCGCAGTTCTCAAGACTGGCTCCAGCCCAAGGCCACCCCGATACTCACTTCCAGATCAAAGCCTCCACTTGCCGCAAACTCAGAGTCTTTCAGGAACTAGGAAAGGAGAATGAGGGGGTCAGTCTGGATTGGTGCTTGATGTGGAAGGATGAAGGGGGCACAGGTGTCCCCAGTCACCCCTACTGTGTAGCTTCCCCTCGGTCTGCAAGGGAAAATCCCTTCTGCTCCCCACAGACCCGTTGCTCCCCAGCTTCATCTGGAATAGCTGTTGATGCAGGGACCTCGGGTGGGGATGGAGACAAGGATGTGGGGACCAAAAGACAGGGCACAGAGGGGATTCAAACAGAGGGAATTTGCAGACCCCAAGAGACTACTGGGCTGGGGGTGCTGAAGTTATGGGACTGTGTGGGACGCAAGTCAGGGGATAAGGAATTCAAATAGAGCGAATGTGGAGACTTCAAGTGACGTGATTGGTGTGGGCTGAAGGAAGAGGCTTGAGGTGGACCAAAACGAGGGGACTGGGAGGACTGCTGGGGGGGTATTTGGAAGTGGGGGTGAAAGGAAGGGGACACCACAGCAATGGATTAGCTGAAAGGCAGAGGACTGAGAGGAAAGAATGAAAGAAAGGCATTGGGAAAGATGAAAGGTACGGCACTGGGGAGCCTAGACAGGACATGGAGGAAATCCAGGGAAAGGGACACCTTGGTGGGGACCAAAGGCGTTGGGGCGGTGGGCTTAGGAGGGGCCCCCAGAGGTCTCTGGAGAGAGATCTCCAGACTCTTTGGGCATCCCACACACCTGACCAGGAGTGGAGGGATCACCTGGACACTTTATGGAGGTTTTGCCAAAGTCTAGGTGTCAGGGAGGGCGCAGTGCCCCCGGTCAGTGGGGTCTCCTCCCCAAGAGCCGCCCATAGCATGAAACCCATCCCCATAGCACTGGGGCTCACCAGAGCATCTGCTGGGAGGCATAGCATGGCGAGGAGCAGGGCCATGCTGAGCAGGGCGATCTTCATCTTCCTCCGTGGTCTACGCAGTCCCGGATGAGGCTGGAGAAAGTGAAGAGCAAGATTTATCTCTCGCAGGACTCCCCACTGACCCCGCCCCGAGAGCCCAGGGGCAAAGCCACGCTTGGCATGCACCAGCCCTGGCAGTGAGCTCACCACTGGCAGAGACTGACCCACACCTCCGCCACTCACCCAGCCACCTTCTGTGGCACCAGGCCAGCTTCCTGCACAGGGCAGCTCCACAGGGACGGCTCCAGGCATCAGGGGGTGGCGAGGGGGTGGTCAGACACCCTGCAGTGAGTTCCCCAGCAAGAAACCATCCTCCAACAGCCCCTAAAGCCACATCTCCCTGTCTCCCAGTGCCCCTCACCTTCCAGGCCAGGCTTACTCCCCAGGACTCCCCCAGAGATGATGCAGCCTCAAATTAAGGGACTCTAAGCAGAGTTGTTTCTGACCCCTCTGCAGTCCCTTGAGTGAACGGCACGCTGAGACTGACTCCTCTTCTTCAGGCACTGGGGACACTGGCATTAGGGGACACTGGGAAGGTAGGAGGACAGCTGGGGGGCATGGGCAATGGGGACAGCCGGGTGACTGAGAACTTGAGGTCCAGAGGGTGATCAGGGTACTGGGAGGCACTGGCCGTGAGGAGCACTGGTGAATGCTGGGCACCAGGGGATGAGGACTCTGCTTGCAGGAGCTGCTGGGGGCGGTCGAAGAGCACAGCTCCAGCCCAGACCATCTCCAAGTTACTGCAGGCCCCAAACTGGTCCCAGTCTCCAGCCATGGCCCCCGAGGGAGGACAGACAGCACAAGGGAACAAGCCCTGCCCTGGTCCATGCCTTGCCACTGTCTGGGGGCACCATGCCCTCCTGGACACCTGGGCCCAGTCCTTCCCTGCAGAGCTGACCCCCACGTGGCGGGTGCCAGTGCCCCATCCCCAGCAAGGCTCCAGCTCCCCTTCCATTCCCACATGGGGCTCAGCCAAGTCTCCCCAAAGGCCTTGTTCCCAGGCAGTGTCCCTGCAATGCCCCTCACCCCAGCAGGGGCTAGCCCTGTCCCTGAGCAGGATGAGGCCATTCAGAGGGGACGCGATGAGGCAGGCACTTGTCCCCGGGCAGCTGCTCAGACCTAATTGCGGGAGCAAATTTTCTCTGGACAGGGAAGAGAGGTTTGACTCCAAAGCATCTCTTATAAGCTGTGTATGCCCAGGGCCCGTGGGACAAGGAGCCCATTCAGGCAGCACGGTCCTTCTGGACAGGGCCTGAGCAGGAGGAGGTTGCAGCAGGACGTGGGGCAGCCTGGGCTCCCTCCAGCATTGGCAGTCAGCAGAGCCCATGGAGGGGGGCAGCCCTGGTATGGTAGAGGAGGAGCACATCCTGGAGCAAGCAGTCAACTGGAAGATTTTCATTTTGGCTGCTTCTGCTTCTTGCACTACTTGCCAGATAGCTGAATTAGCTTATCAGTGTTGCATTATTTATTATATTTAAAAACAAAGTGACATTATTAAAAGTGGTCTTCAGGGAGATCCCATCTGCTGGTTTAATGATATCTAAAAATAAATGTTTGTGGAAGAGGGGAGAGATATGCCACTGTTAAAAAACATAAACATTTCATTTCATGAAATCTTCCAGTTGACTGCCTATTCTTTGGTAAATTTCCAAAGCTAATATTCAACGTGATCTGCAGGGGAGGAAAACAAGATATGGGACATCTGACTTCCCTGTTCTGCATGAGGAGGCAAGCAAGGACTGGAAACCACTCTGTCTCAGGGTCACTGGGGAGCTCTCCTTGATCTGAGGGGAGAGTTGAGCCTGTTGTTCACACTGCCACTGCCTCCCCTGGCCCACACTGCCCAGAGGATGCTGCCCAGGGACCCTAAGACACTGATGTCCAGGATGGGGGACAGGGAAGAAAACCCCCCTGGTAGCCCTTGGAAGATCTGTAGAGCCGGCAGGGCAGAGAGAGGGGAGGCAGTGCCCCACAGGGAGACACCTCTATCGTACTGCTGCTCAATGCCTCTTCCCTGCCAGGACTGCCCTGCCATCAGATTTCTCCAAAGGAAAGTGACCACCCAGCTGTCAGGCTGCTCCCAGAGGACTGCCACTGCCTCTGGGCTCCAGCCTGTCCCCAGGGCAGCGAGGGAACCGCAGCATGCCAGGTGCTCCAGGATGTGCCCCTCCACTACCACACCAGTGTGTCCCTGCACAGCCTCACTACATCCTTATAGTCCTTCCAAAGATAATAAACCCTCCTTTTTCTCCTAAGCTCAAGCCACAGTTCTCTGTTGAGCCAGGCTGATCTTCTTCCCTGCTGGCTCATCTTTGGGCACATGGGGACAGACCGTTCCTACACCATTAAGATTTCCCTCTTAAAGAGCGCCCAGCCTTCCTGGACCCCTCTGCCCTTCAGAACCACCTTGCAAGGGACTCCACCAACTAATGTCCTGAGCAGCTCAAAGTCAGCCCTCCGAAAGTCCAATACAGTGGTTTTACTGGTCCCCTTCCTGGTCTCGCCAAGAATAGTGAACTCCACCATTTCGTGGTCACTCTGCCCAAGACAGCTCCCGACAATCACATCCTCCACCAGTCCTTCTCTGTTTGTGAAGAGAAGGTCTAGCGGGGCACCACCCCTGGTAGGTTCACTAACCAGCTGTGTAAGGAAGCTATCTTCCACACTCTCCAGAAACCTCCTAGACTGCTTTCTCTGGGCTGTGTTGTGCTTCCAGGATATGTCAGGGAAGTTGAAGTCCCCCACGAGAACAAGTGCTGAAGATTTCGCAACTTCTGTCAGTTGCCTGTAGAACTCCTCATCCGTCTCCTCATCCTGGTTCGACGGTCTATAGCAGACCCCGACCAGGACACTAGCCTTGTTGTCCCTGCTGATCCTAACCCAAAGGGACTCGACCTTGTCGTTCCCAGCCTCGAGTTCTACAACCTCGAAAGACTCTCTAATATAGAGAGCCACACCACCACCCCTTCTGTGCTGCCTGTCCCTTCTGAAGAGCTTATAGCCAGGCATTGCAGCACTCCAGTCATGAGACTGGTCCCACCACGTCTCCATGATGGCAACCAAGTTGTAGCCTGCCTGCAGCACGATGGCTTCCTCCTGTTTGTTACCCATGCTGCGTGCATTGGTGTAGATGCACTTAAGCTGGGCCATTACCTTATCCTCCAGCCTTTGCATTGTTCCCCCTGGCACAGCCCCAACAATCCTTGCTTCAGCCCCATCCCCCTTCTTACCTAGTTTAAAGCCCTATCAATGAGCCCCGCCAGCTCCTGGCCAAGGATCCTTTTTCCCCTAAAAGATAGGGACCCGTCTGCGGCAATCAGGCCAGGTGCTGAGTGAAGTGCCCCATTGTCGAAAAACCCAAGATTTCTGCGTTGGCACCAGCCCCTGAGCCACGTGTTTAACAGGTGGGCTTTCCGTGTCCTCTCTGTTTCCCTCCCTGCCACCGTAGGGATGGATGAAAACACCACCTGCACTCCTGCTCCATCCACTAACCGTCCCAGCCCCCTAAAGTCTCTTTTGATAGCCTTCAGGCTTCTCTCTTCAATGTTGTCACTGCCCGCCTGGACTATCAAAAGAGGATAATAATCAGAGGGGCGTACCAGGTTGGGAAGCTTCCTGGCAACGTCCCTGACCCTGGTCCAAGGGAGACAGCAGACTTCCCTACGCGTAGAGTCAGGCCGACAAATAGGGCCCTCTGTTCCCCTAAGAAGAGAGTCTCCAACAACAATAACCCTCCTGTCTTTCTTGATGGAGGCAGTCCTGAGGCGTGGAGTCGACCTCCTCGCCCTAGGCATCCTCCTGGGAACACTTCCTACCTCTTCTTCAGCTACCGGTCTGTCGAGCTCCAGGGCCTCAAACCTGTTGCGTAAGGGCACCTGGGAAGGTGGGGCCGGAAGGGGAGGGCATCGTCTGCCATGTCGAGCAGGGACCTGTTTCCATTCCTCCTCAACTCCCAGATCCCCTCCCTCTGCCCGACGGCTACAGGGCAGGGGGTCCACCCCCATTTGGGGTGTCTCACCTCGGTACCTCTCCTTGAGGCCCTGCAGGGAGTTACTCCACCAGTCTATCTCCCGCTCACACTCCCTGATATCCCTCAACCTCTCCACCTCCTCCTTGAGCACCGCCACCATGTGGACCAGGTCATCCACCTGTTCGCACCTCACGCACGCAGTTTCTCTGCCTCCCGCCAATGGCAGCAACAGGCTCAGACACTCCCCGCACCCAGTGACCTGAACTGTTGCATTTTTTAACGGGTAGTCGGTCTGGGTGTGTACCGACTTCCTGGAGAGCGCACCATGCCTGGTGGAGACCAGTATCACCAGAGCTGCTGCAAAAGCTCCTCCTGCCTCTCCCACGCATCTAGACTCGTGGGAGTGCGGACTGGCTATTGGTGAAAATGAGCAAGGATGGGCACCAGGTCGCCATGCTGACCGCAGAGCTGACCATAGTGCAGAGGGCTGATGTGATTCAGATTCCGCGATGGGAAGGAGAAGTTCTCATCACCACAAACGTCTGTGCTAGAGGTACCGTATCCTGAAAAGCAATACCCTCGCAGCGTCTGCAGTGTGGGAATCCCCTTGATTTGCCCCATGGCCCATCAACTCGCAGGGGACACACGATGCTGCTTCGTTTCTGGTGACACAACCTGTGCTCCGTGGCCTCTACATGTAGGTCTTTTGTTGCCTTGACATGTCATTGTAGTGTGTGCTGCAGAGCCAGGGCTGACCGCTTTATACTGCAAGTGGACTAGCTCCGATCTGGACGCGGGTGATTGCCTTCGGATCCTGGTTGCGAGAAACCTCTCTGTCTTTCAGGGATTGATGTGGCACAAGTCACCATAGTGGTGAACTTCAGCCTCCCTGTTAATCAGGAGAAGCAGCTGGATTTTGAGACCTACCTGCACTGCATTGGGCAAACGGGCTGCTTTGGGAAGAAGGGCATTGCCTTCAACATGGTGGAAAGGCAGACCACGTACCTCGTGCACAGTATAGAGGAGCATTTCCGTGAATATCCTTGTGCCCAGCTCTGATGCTGCAAAGAGCTGAGGTACATGTGGATGAGAAGTGCATTGGGAAGCATTAAGGGATGTCAGGAGTGTGGCCACCTCTTGCAGCTGCTCTGGCCCAGGACCTCCATGCCTGGTTGCTGAAGCACAGCAAGGCCAGTACAGACCAGTACGGTCCTTGTGAGCTGCTGAAGCCCGGCCTGGTGCCTGGGCACCTGGGGTCTCTGCACAAGCTGAGGGATGCGTCTGCCACTTTACCCTTTAACCCAGGCTCAATCAACAGTGTCACAGAACACATGTCCCTGAGACCAACACGCACAGACACACACAAATATACAGACATAGACACACAAGCACACACAAATCCCCTTCTCCTCGTTGGCTGGCAGAGAGTCACTAGTGCAAGCACACACATACACTTCCAGGTCCAAACACACACAGGTGTTTGTGGGTCAGCAAGCACCATCCCAGCCCCTCTATTCTCCTAGTGTCCCTGACCAGACCCTTGCCCTCTGACAAGTCCCCTACTTGCTGGCTGGTCCAGCCTGATACTCGCACGGACTCCACCCATGCACCTGATACCCTGGCCTGGGCCTGAGGGCCCCCGCAGTCACTAGGTGACCCAGGCTGAAGTTTTCAGGTGAATACACACACACACACACCCTCCATACCCACACAGTCTGTAGAAGGTACAGATGCTCACCTCTGCCTCCAGCAGCTGTCACTTCGAATTCATCATGTACACACACACACAGTCACAGTCACGCCAGTGCCCCCCCAACAGATGTTTTTTGGATGCACAGCATCCCCAGCCCAGTGGCTGGGAGCTGAAGAATCGTGCTTGCTGCAGTATCTGCAGTGAGACCCCTGCAGTGGCTCCAGTAGGTGGCAGCCGAGGCCAGGGGCAGCCTTGTCCCTGTCTGACTGCAGGAGTTGGCACCAGTTTTCATTCACGCACAGGTCTCAGCAGTAGCTGGTGAGAAGGTACTGCTGTATGCACGCACGTACACACACACACACACATACCAGGGATTGAGTGTGAGATCACAGAAAGACAGAAGTGGGAAAAGATTTAAGTAGGCATAAGACTACAAGACAGACCGTGGCGATCAGTGTTGGGGCTAAACCAAAGAAGCACACCGACTAGTCCCATTTCACATGCAAGTGGCCGCTTCTGTGCCCTTTCCTGCTTACCCCCTCTTTGCACCTCCCACCTCCCTTTCCTCCTGCACGTCCCATCCTGGGTTTGTACAGCCCTCCCAGTTCCCACACCCCTTCCCGTCCAGGTCCCTCTGGCTCACAGCCTTACCAGCTGTAAATTGCAGGTGGTTCTTCTGGGAAGTGGCACCTGTAATTTCTCAATAGCCCACCGATTAGTGTGAGTGGTGAGGTTAGTTTCTCGTCATTGTCTCATTGGGTTTGTCAGGTCTGTATCAGGTGTTTTGTTGCTTGTTTCCCCCTTTTCCCACGTTGCCCAGTTGCCAAGGTCCTTGATCGGATAACCTCTGTGGAATAAACATTCTGAGCTCCATCAGTCAGTGTGACTGACCAGTTTGGGTTCCCATCACTATGTACGTCTCTTACCATTTGTCGGTCAGGTTTGTGTCTGTTGTGCTCTCTCAAAGTTTGATTATCTTTTGAACTCCGCAGTGTGGAAATGCCATGCTGAGCACTTTAGGTAG